GTGTAAAAGCGAAAACGTGTAAAACAAGTACCGTGTAAATCGGGGGATAGGTGTATATTTTAGCAATAGAGTTTTTCCAGCCACTTTAGCAGCTAAATATATTTTTGATCAACTTAGAATATAGATTGAGTCATCAGTGACAATCCATTGATTATATATTTATTTGAAAATTCACGATTTTTTCAGGATATCCCAAAGACAAGCTTTTTTTTGGTCGTTGAATTGCAGTTTGAAACACACTGATGAGGGTCAACAGCCCGAAACGTGTATTTGGTTAGCTTTTCTTGATTAATCAAGAATGGGTATTTGACCAATTCTGGAATATTTAAAAATCAACGATTAGTTGATGTTTTTTCCAAAAGATGGCTCAAGCTATCAGTAACTTTTAGTTACACGACCAGGAGAGTTTCTCCACCATTTATCCACCTCATCCCAGCAAAATTTCACACTTTTGTTCTATTTTTCACAAAGAGTTTCTTTATAAGTTTAAAATGGCAAGCTTTCAAGTGTTATAAAGTAAAACACACAGTTTTTAAAAATAAATATTTAAAGTAATTTTTAGAGAAAGAGATGTCACAACACCCAACTCACTCCGGACCATATATACAATTACCTGGCCATCCTTGCAGCCCTCTATATGGCAGACATCAATCCAGAAGAGGACATCCATACGGCATCTCAGTTGGCCGGTATTGTGATCAGGGTGCATGAACCGATCTGATCTGCTCCATGGACAAGACACCACCATAGAAAGATATTTTAGATAAATCTTTATAAAGGTCAAAGACTCTTCCAGAAAGATACGTCAAGTAAGAAGTTTCAGAAGATGAGTTTCTTTTAAAAGAAACTCATCTTCTGAAACTTCTTACTTGACATATAAATCTTTATATATATAAATATGTAAATTCCTTATACTTCTCTATTTATTGTATTTGCGAAACCATTAGCTTGTATGAGATGATGAGCTGATGCTTGAAAGCTTTTAAAAGAAAGAAAACTGATGAAGGAATTTGTTTCGAATATCCGGATTGCGAAATTACGTTTGTACTTTTGTAATTATTCTAGAGAAACAATAGTGTTTTTTTAAATTACCAATTTTTTTATCATTACATTTCTTCACATGGAGCTTCCATTTTGTAAAAGTATAAATAAAGAGTTTTATCATATTTCAGACCAAGCGATGTTTTTTATTATCTGTACTGACATATGTGTAAGTATTGGTTTCGTTTTCTCGATATAGTCTCATGGACAAAACTTAAGGAAGTTGTACTTTTTACCATGTATAACGGGATTCAGACAATAACTCTGAAAGATATTACAGTGACCTTTATTGAAGACATACGAGATAACCAAGTGTGAAAAATATTGGCTCTGTCTGCTTAAAAAAAAAAAAAAAAAGAACACCGGCGACATTAAAGGCTTTCCACTTCCTAAAGTTTTGTCCATGAGTGTAGCTACGTTCCAATTGCGACAACCAAAACCAACAAACAAAATATGATAAGAAAATTTTTCCAATCTATGTTTTTTATTATCTCAATATTTAAATATGGATTACTTGCTCTATTTTCTAAATATACACTCATGAACAAAACTTAAGGAAGTAGAAAGTCTTTGATGTCGCCGGTCTTTTTTTTTTCTTTGAAGGAAACAATCGCATTTTTTTTTGTTCATACTTGGTTATCTCGTGTGTCTTCAATAAAGGTCACTGTAATATCTTTCAGAGTTATTGACTCAATCCCGATATACATGCTGAAAGGTACAACTTCCTTAAGTTTTGTCCATGGGTGTAGTTCATACTTGGTTATCTCGTGTGTCTTCAATAAAAGTCACTGTAATATCTTTCAGAGTTATTGTATCAATCCTGATATACATGGTAAAAGGTACAACTTTCTTAAGTTTTGTCCATTAGTGTATTTTGTTCACACTTGGTTATCTCGTGTGACTTCAATAAAGGTCACTGTAATATCTTTCAGAGTTATTGACTCAATCCCGATATACATGCTGAAAGGTACAATTTCCTTAAGTTTTGTCCATGGGTGTAGTTCATACTTGGTTATCTCGTGTGTCTTCAATAAAAGTCACTGTAATATCTTTCAGAGTTATTGTATCAATCCTGATATACATGGTAAAAGGTACAACTTTCTTAAGTTTTGTCCATTAGTGTATTTTGTTCACACTTGGTTATCTCGTGTGACTTCAATAAAGGTCACTGTAATATCTTTCAGAGTTATTTGTCTGAATCCCGATATACATGCTGAAAGGTACAACTTCCTTAAGTTTTGTCCATGAGTGTATATACGTCTAATCTAATTCTTCTGTTATTATTGTTGTTTTCCAAGTAATGTTGGTGGCTTTAATAGAGCAGATGTCATTCTACCTAGCTGTTACCTTATATCTGTCAGACGTATTTTCACCAAGGCTCCAGACTATGGGTCGGCAAACCTTTGAGTCGGAAGAATCAAAAATTACAATTTAGAAAATTACAAAGTTTTTAAAGAGCCACAAAATTTTTTCTTGCCAACAATAAATAGTACTCGCATAAATAATATTTACATATGGAACTATATAAAGAGCTTCACATCCAAAGAACCGTATGTGTTTCCGCAGTTTACCCACCCCATAACTGTTCCCATATCTGTGGAACAAAAGGAAATATCTAAGGTATCGTCTGTTTTATATACAGTTGCATAGAAATCTGCTGTTTTCATTTATCCGGGTAATTCCTCATCTATGCCCTCTTGTATGTAAATAAGATAAACATTTACCTAGGGAAATGGTATAATTGTTTACAAAGAGATGAGGTTAATGTGATATTAAATTTGTGGGTATGATTTTGAAAATTATCATTTCTGTTGAAATTGGTAAACAAATCAATTAAAAATAATCTGTGATGTCAAATATGTTCCTTTTTGACTAAGTTTGTTTTGTTTTATGTTGTAGTAATAGCTTAGAATATATTGAAGCTCAACTTTTTTCTTCATCCGTTAAGTTAATTAGTTTGTTTAACCTCTCCTTGTATTTGAATAATAAATTTGTTTAAATTAATAAGCTGCAGTTATGTTAAATTAAAATTCCAAATACAACAATTTTCATTTTAAAATTTTTGCTTGGAAGCATTGAAATCTTGATTTTTTTCACCATTCCAACTAGGAGATTTGTCGTTTTCAATTTCGAAATTTGTCATTTAAAATTTGAGATTTTTCTTTACTTTTATTTTAAAAATGTATAATAAAGATTTGAAATATTTGTGCTTCACTGAAGTACTGCAAAAATCTCTCTTCTAGATGTATGTATATACAATTTAAAGTCAAAGTTAACATTAAGGGCGCATGAATAGTAAAAAATAATATAAATTTTAAATAATAATATTGATATTTACACTATTTATATTAAAATAGATGCGGTGAACTCCGAGACCTACCTTTCAGCAAGGGACCATATTAACAAACTTAAACTACAACTGATAAGGAACCATAGAGATAGTTTCCATCATTCTTGGTACCGGGTAGAAAACCCCCAAAACAGACCCTCCAACTAAACAGAAGGGAATCGACACAGTTGGCCAGATGGAAATCTGGTCACCTGCGCCCTCTAGTCTATAAAGAGGGAGCCAAACGCTTCCCCATGTGCACTAGGTGCAAAACCGAAGAGGCCACTCCCCAACATATACTAAATTGTCACAAAGCAATAACGCGCCATCTATACATATAAAATAAAAGGATTTAAAAGCGCGAATGTTTCTTTTATACATGAAACGAACTTCTACTGTCCTTACTGCGATGAAAAAATATATTGGGAGGGCTTGGCTCATCAGTGGTGAACCCTCCCAGCGGTTTCGCCAATTTAATTCACCAGACCGCTTCCCAGAGCTCTAATACTGTATTGGATGATTCTGCTTTTATATGCTACACTGAAGGATGAAATCTTAGAAATGGTATTCAAAGTAAACTATGGACATAAGCTTATAGGACAGTAGAATTACATTCAAATATTTGCTTCGAGCAATGCTCTTCAGCAAACTATAAAGACAAGGCCATTAGGAATAAATTAACACAAAGCAATAACGCGCCATCTATACATATAAAATCATGTATAAAAGAAACATTCGCGCTTTTATATCCTTTTATTTTATATGTATAGATGGCGCGTTATTGCTTTGTGTTAATTTATTCCTAATGGCCTTGTCTTTATAGTTTGCTGAAGAGCATTGCTCGAAGCAAATATTTGAATGTAATTCTACTGTCCTATAAGCTGATGTCCATAGTTTACTTGAAAACCATTTCTAAGATTCCATCCTTCAGTGTAGCATATAAAAGCAGAATGATCCAATACAGTATTAGAGCTCTGAGAAGCGGTCTGGTGGATTAAATTGGCGAAACCGCTGGGAGGGTTCACCACTGATGAGCCAAGCCCTCCCAATATATTTTTTCATCGCAGTAAGGACAGTAGAAGTTCGTTTCATGTATAAAAGAAACATTCGCGCTTTTAAATCCTTTCATTTTATACATACTAAATTGTATTGGAAAGGACAAGAGATCCCTGTACAGAGAACCAAGAAGAGTTCTTGAACTTCTTTATGAGCACGACCTCCAAGATATTGTCTAATTTAGACTAAAAGGATAAGTAAAAAAAAACATTAAAAATATATGTTAAGGCACAATTTGGATTATAGATTATAAATACAATGTAATAAAAGACCAAATCCAAATAAATAAATAGTGTGTGACGTTTTGGTAACAACGTTGTTACCATCTTCAGACAAAAGTATCCAATAAAGATGGTAACAATGCTGTTACCAAAACGTCACACACATTTTTTTATATTCGGATTTGGTCTCTTATTACATTGTAAAATGACATTTGAAAACTATCCCGCATGTGTTTCTTTTGAACGAAAAATCGAAATTTATTTTTAAGGAGAAATAACGATTATTTCTAACCTTAGAGATGAAGTATGAAAGGATGAATTGTGAAGAGTAATGATAAACGGAAAAATAAAAGTGTTCAGGGATGGGAATCGAACCCACAGTGTTCCGCTTACCAGGCAGATGCCATGTCCACTAGGTTCGATTCCCATCCCTGGACACTTTTATTTTTCCGTTTATCATTACTCTTCACGATTCATTTTTTCATACTTCATCCCTAAGGTTAGAAATAATCGTTATTTCTCCTTAAAAATAAATTTCGATTTTTCGTTCAAAAGAAACACATGCGGGATAATTTTCAAATGTCGTTTTACAATCATAAGCCGCATTATATTGTATTATAAATTACTTATTACCTTGTGTTTATTAAAGATTAGCCTAGTGGACATGGCATCTGCCCGGTAAGCGGAACTTTGTGGGTTCGATTCTCATCCCTGGACACTTTTATTTTTCCGTTCATCATTACTCTTCATAATTCACCCTTTCATACCTCATCCAAAAAGGTTAGAAATAGTCAATATTTCACCTTGAAATACATTTTGATTTTTCGTTGAAAAGAAACTCATGCGGTGTAACTTCAAGTGTTGTTTTACAATCACAAGCCGCAGTGTATTATATTAAAGATATATACAATTAACACAATTGTATGATTTCTCATAAGTTTTCAGAAGTTTTATATATTTATATAATAAATCTCTGTTAGTTCAATGAAAATGTAAACTTTTGATTTTATAATATGTGATTCTACAGAATTTTTGAGATTTTGCAATTCCTATTTTGTCATTATTTTATCCTTTTATTTTTGAGATTGTGAATCTTAATTTCGGATTCCAATTTTGAGATTGGTTTGCTTTTGTTCAATTTTGAAAGTTGTCATAGCCAATTTTACCGTTTCCGAAAACCAGCGGACTCAGGTCGTTGACAAAGCCACAACACCAGCTTTGGCAAACTGAAAAGCGTCCTTCTGGAGACCATGGTTTCGGGCTAATGGTTCTTGTCAGTCCATAGATTGCGCTTAATTTTAGCGTCTATTTTGACGGGAGAGATGAGCTTTATTTTTATAGATCAATTTCATCCCGGAAAACTGATTAGTGATATCAATCTTGAGACTTGAGAGAAGGGGTCGGTGGAAGGATGGTCTGAACCGTTGGTTTTCTACCGCTACAACCTGGGTTCGATTCCCGCATTGGATACTTTTTTCTGATAAAAAAAAAATGCTCCAATGGCCCCCGATTCTTACAAAAGTCCAACCCCACCAGCCAATGCAAGTAACTAAACGGGGCTCTGGCACATTTGTAAGGAAAAAGTCGAACTGATTTTCACATCTGTAGACATGTGGTGCACTTACAGTAAAAGCAGTTGCCTACATTGATTATCATGGCCTGTACCACATGTACTAGGAATAAGCAAAAAGAACAAATCTTGAGACTTGTTGGATTAAAATTGTCCCAATTGTATGACAAAGTGGTGGTGTCACATATGTGCAATGTCACATCATTGTTTCCACATGTTGACACATGCTGGCGACAGTGTGATCTTGCATTTTGATGAACCATTGTGCAAGTCTTGCATTGAGTAGTTGTTTCGCTGATGTAAAAAGTGTCATTTGAGAAATTAAATGACATTTGTTATAACGTACATAACTGGATTAAAATAATCACTCTATCTCCTGAGGTGTCTATCCACCTTTTCTTTATTTTCTTTGGACACGCTATCTACTACATATATATATTTGTTAAAAAACAAAATTTGCATATCCTGACTGATCACATGAACATTTTTAGATGGCAGAGCGCCATCTATTGTAACAAAAATCAACTAAATATTCCATTCTATATGTTATGATTATTTTTTGTTTTGTTGTTGAAAAAGAGAGAGAGAGAGAGAGAGAGAGATAGAGAATTGAAGGTGCAGTCGTGAAAAAGGAAAGATTGTTATTTACCTTTCAAGTAGTTTTTTATTTTGAATTACTTGAAGTAAAAATACACATAAAATTATTTATCACAACAATATAGAATTTATAGAATGAATTCTATAATCGTGATTTTAAAAAATAGGTAGGGTTAACTATACATATTTACAACAATAATTAAAGTGGTATATTCTGAATCTATGGTCAAAAAATGTAGAACAGTCAATGAATGAAATATAAAATATATGTTTTTAAAAAATATATATATATTTGCATTTGAGATTATATAATATGATGCACTAGCGCGCCATCTGTTATCAAAATTCGAAACTATTTTAAAGGCGTAAGATTCTTTTTGGATATTAAACAACTTCTACTGCCCTTACTGTAATGGAAAAATTTAATGAGAGGGCCTGGCTCATCAGTGGTGAACCCTTTAAACTGGCGAAACCGCTGGGAGGGTTCACCACTGATGAGCCAGGCCCTCTCATTAATTTTTCCATTGCAGTAAGGGCAGTAAAAGTTGTTTAATATCAAAAATAATCTTACGCCTTTAAAATAGCTTCGAATTTAGATAATATAATATATATATGCAAAAAAAAATAATAAAAAAAGGTCAGGTGTTGATATTAAAAACAAAAAAGTTGCATATCCTGACCTCTCACATGAGCATTCTATATGAAAGAGCGCCATCTAGTGGAACAAAAACCAACTAAACGTTATACTAGATAACGCTCTGCCATCTACAATGTCCATGCTAGCGGTTAAGATATGCTCTTTTGTTTTTAATATCAACACCTGAACCTTTTCTATTTTTCTTATTTTTCATATATGTAAAAAGGACTCCTCTCCCGTCAAAATAGAAGCTAAAACTAAGTGCCATCTATTGACCGTCTCCATAAACTAATGCACTCGGGTCAGTAACAAAGCCACAACACCATTTTTGGTAAACTGAGAAGCGTCCCTCTGGAGACCATGGTTTCGGGCTAATGGTCCTTGTCAGTCTATAGATTCCGCTTAATTTTAGCGTCTATTTTGACGTGAGAGGTGAGCTCTTTTTTATATAAATCAATTTCCTTCAGGCACAATTTCCATCTATATATTTATATGTCGAATTTTGATAATTCGTCCTTTTTTTGTTTTTCTCTTATCCGTTAAATATATTTTTTCTATATGAATTTTTCATTATGTTTCATAGTTGTTGTTAAACTTATAATAACAATAATGAAGATAACGATACAAATATATAATGGACATAAAATTATGATATCATGATTAAACTTTAATAATTCTTTGGAACAGATGTATTTATGGATTGGTTGGTTCAAAGAGAATTCGTCTAGTAGAACTCTATAGAACTTATTTGGGATGAAAAAAAAAAACCTAAATCAAATTGCAGTGAAATTTGATCAAAATTGAGTCGGGCACATTTTTTATATATATCAAGAATGGTAATAAATCAAAATATGGCATCAAAATACACTCATGGACAAAACTTGAGGAAGTTATATCTTTTAGCATGTATATCGGGATTCAGACAATAACTCTGAAAGATATTACAGTGATCTTTATTAAATACACACGAGATAACCAAGTGTGTATACACTCATGAACAAAACTTGAGGAAGTTGTACCTTTTACCATGTATATCAGGATTCAGACAATAACTCTGAAAGATATTACAGTGACCTTTATTAAAGACACACGAGATAACCAAGTGTGTATACACTCATGATCAAAACTTGAGGAAGTTGTACCTTTTACCATGTATATCGGGATTCAGACAATAACTCTGAAAGATATGACAGTGACCTTTATTAAAGACACACGAGATAACCAAGTGTGAACAAAATACACTCATGGACAAAACTTGAGGAAGTTGTACCTTTTAGCATGTATATCGGGATTCAGACAATAACTCTGAAAGATATTACAGTGACCTTTATTGAAGACACACGAGATAACCAAGTATGAACAAAATTGCCTTTCTTCATCAAAATAGACGACCGGGGATATTAAAGACTTTCCACTTAAGTTTTGTCAATGAGTGCATAAGCTAATGTATAGGCAAAAAACACATATTTTTCATGTATTTATAATTAAGTAAACAAAATAAATATAGGTCGAATTAAGACACATAATGACAATCTCTCTCCCTGTTCATTTATAGAAGAAAAATCACAAGATGGAGAGAAGAATTTTTCTCATTTATAAACAGTCGTTAAGCTTTCGAGCAAGAGCCTTTCTACAGGTACATTGTATTTTGTATGTAGAAGGGTTTCTGGCCTGAAAGCTTGTATAACCTTTTATAAATGAAGGAAAAACACTTTTCCCGTCTTATTTCTATTAAAATAAAAATAGTTTCCTTGATAAAGGGAGACAACGAGTTACCGAAACATTGAAATAAAGAATATAATTGAAGTCAATCATTTATCGAAATCAAAATTAATCGAAATTAATGAACTAGCTTTGACGTCCGGGATATATATTGTTACCATTGTTTCTTTAGGCAGTCCTTCATCGGTAAATGATCAACATGACCTTTTCCAATTTCGAGATGACAAATGAGTGAAACGATTCGAATAAATATCTCATTGCGTGTATCTTAATGATTTCTTCAAATGTCTATTGACCAATAGGGAAGGAAGGTTTTTACGGTCGTGTGAATGGCCAACCAATCAGAGGACAAGGAAGGAGTCCTATCCAATAGAATGGCGCCGCACAAAGGGACGGATGCCAGATAACACTTAGTCTCCACCCTTCAGTGATTTCAATAATGAGGATTTCCTACTGATGAATCCATCACTTGGCGTTGACAGATGTCATATCTGATGGGGGTTACTGTAGATGGTGTAGATGTGTCTACACACGTAGTACTGGAACGTGATAATCAAGGTGGGTAGAGCGGTTTGTGACTGTGTATACTGTAGATATACCCAGTGTCTACACACGTAGCACTGGAACGTGATAATCAAGGTGGGTAGAGCGGTTTGTGATAGCTTGTACTGTAGATACACCCAGTGTCTACACACGTAGCACTGGAACGTGATAATCAAGGTGGGTAGAGTTTGTGACAGCTTGTACTGTAGATACACCCAGTGTCTACACACGTAGCACTGGAACGTGATAATCAAGGTGGGTAGAGCGTTTTGTGACTGTGTATACTGTAGATATACCCAGTGTCTACACACGTAGCACTGAAACGTGATAATCAAGGTGGGTAGAGCGGTTTGTGACTGTGTATACTG